CCCCAAAACCCCAAAACCCCAAAACCCCGTTGTATTAAAATGTCAAAATAAATCAGTAATTGTGAATTTAATAAAAAGTTAGATTTTATTTATTATTTTGAAATGGAAGAATTAGTTCCAATGGCAATTGAATATCCTATCATGACTGACGGTAATGAATAATCAGATTATGATGAAGATATCTTAAGATTTCATGCTAATGAAATCCAATCTCCCTAAATTATATTGAGCAATAGAATGCGAAATGACAGGCTACAAAAAAACTATGTTAAAAATGTTAGCCCTACAAGTAATAGGAGAAAATAAAAACCAGCTAAATCTATAGAAAAAGTCCCAATTATGGGCCATATGCATATCAATAGAGCAAGAAAAGATTTTCTGCCACTGAATTGAGATATCTCTATTTAGCTGAACTAGATGAATATTAATCAAAATTAATATTAAGTAAATCCGCAGGCCCCTGATAATTTTATCTTAAATTTAGAAAAGCAGAATTTATACGGAGCTAATAGATCAATGGATAATCGAAAGTTATCTTAAGCCAGCAGAAATTATGATATACCAACACTTGATAGCAAAAGTATAGAAACAGTGAATAGTATTGGAACGAACATTAGTAATCCAAAGATTGATTATGATTCAATGGAAATAAAACTGACAAGTGATGAGAGCGTCCTCGCAAACACTCTTCCTCTGAATTAAGTTCTAGCCTAGGATTAGCATGTGAAAAGTAAAATAACAGCAGCAAGAGTTATTTCTATTTATGGAGATTTGGGGCCGAAAAATAGAAAGCTAAAAGACACATTAAAGAATGTGATAAACAAGTAAAGTTAGTAGTTTGATCAACTTTAACTTAAGAGATAATTAGATTAGCCATAATTACAGTATTTAAGCGTAGATTTCAGCAAGAAACCAATTTTAAATACTGACTATTCCATTGAGTAACAGACATTTATGAAAACATAATTTAATTTTCATTAGTAAGAAAAAAGAATATTTAAAAACAATAAAATGCTCGATAATTCTAGATTTATTGACCACTATTAGTAAAACTTGAATTACAAGGCAAACTATCAACTCAATGATTAAAATATAATCTTGAACTCATTTGATAAAAGAACTCAAAAGACTGTACAATAAGAGAGAATATCAAGAAAATCTGTGACGTAGACAAGACAGATTTACAGAGGAAATGAACCCCCAATTCCACCCAGCATACAGGTCAACAAAGTAAGAGGGGATAAAGTTAAAAATGGCATGCAGATTTTGATTTAAAAGACATAGTCTCATAATACCTCAAATGAAAAGCCAAATTATAATGGAGCTGGTTCTTTTTAAAACTCATCTCCCAGAGCTTTAAGCATAGTCCATGAGCTACAGGACTCTACGAACAATAATTATCTAAATCACATTGAGAATAAATTCTTAAAACATAAAAGTACTCCAGTTAGAACCTCAATCAATACCAAAAGGAAACTGGAGCACAATCAAAGTGAAAGTGGATATGAAGATAAGATAAAATTAAAGCAAAATCTTTAGTAATAAGATACCAAAAAATTGCTTGTAATGTCCTAAAGAGAAATATAAGTAAATAGAAGTCTTGAATAAAAGAACATTTAACACTAACAAATGTAATAGTTGCAACAAAAATTTGTCCACAATAATAATCTCAATCAAAGTATAAATTTGAATCATTATGCAAACATGTCTCCAGATAGCTTTTAAAAAATAGACAAGTTTTCTAAGGACTATGTAGAGGCACCCATAACATAATATAAGACTGGAGTAGATGATAATAGGTCTAACTTAGTTGTCAAAAGAAAGATTAAGTTGAGCAATTTATCCAGCAGCGTCAATCATATTTAGAGCATGAGGAATGAAATTATAATGAGACAGTAATATGTTCCACCTATCAATAATAGTGAAGTTTAATCAAGAGTGGATAGAGATCAAAAGTTTATGGAACTGATGAACAGAGACTGGCAGAATTAGTTTGATAAACTATCAGATAACCTTAAAATTGTGAGAAGTAAAGAGAAGAAAGTAAGATAGATGATTTCTAAAGAAAGCTACTAAGACCTTGACAGGAAAAAGGTTGAAAAATCTGTAACATTTATACTTCCTGAAATAATGAATTGAAAATGGGTATAAATTAGTGTAAACGGTATAAAAATATCAACTTATCAATTTATATTTTTGATTTTATAAATCTTGAGTCTAAGTTAATTAGTTCTATAATTATCGATTTTATCAATTTCTTATTAAAGTGAAACCACATGGGGTTTTGGGGTTTTGGGG